TCTCCAAATTCTGTTCAAGAATTTTTTTTTTAGTCTTCTGTAAGGAATTTTGATTAAGTTCCATTAAGTGCCTAATTCCTCAGAAGGTGTATTTCTGAGTGGTTCCATTGATGTATGCCAATTACACCAGCTGACAAACAGCCGCTGCATTACAAAAAAAATCCATATTTTTAATGACTCCCTTGCTGTCCTCCATGTCTGTGTGTATGTCATGACACACAGCTTCCCACCATCTGCACTTCTTCCTTTATATATCCACGCATTTTGTATTATAAATTGCTTGGCTGTGATGTATCCTGACATTTGACATAACAGCAGGGCTGGGGGGAGCATAAGTGCTGATCATTAGATTATTGTTGAAGTATTCTCTCCTTTCCTCCCCTGCTCCCTGTGTTCCCTGGAGACACAGGTGTTAATAAAATCAAACAAAATGAAAATGGGTAAATTATTGCAAGCTATGAACACCTACATTGTGCCATGCCTCACTAGTTTCCAATACCACCTCATTCTTGAGACAACCAGAGAAAAAGATGCAATTTCATCCTGTAGGCTGGGTGGTATAAGGAAAGGACAAAAGAGACAAGATATTGCAATCCAAAGGTCAGAGACCCACTCCCTTGTATAATTATAGCATTTCATTTATATCCTACCAATCTGTCTTTGGATGGCTGATAGTAAATTAAGTAGCTAAAAAAGAACAATTTTGAAAATTCTCGAATAACTAATAACTGAGCTCTAAACCTAGAGCATCATATAGGGAGATGAGCACAAGTATCAGCTTGGAATTTCTTTTCCAAAAAATAATTTTAAGAATACTCTAAGACTCAGATCTGTGAGACCTAGATCTGTGTCTCAATTCTTTACTTCAGGATTCTTGAAAACAGATTTAACACTTATTCTAAACACCTCAGAGATTTTGCAGAGCTTCAAGGGTGTGAGTCATCCTGGAGTGCAATATACATCCAATTGAATCTTGCAGGATGGATGCCCTCTGTACCTCTTTAAAATGCAGGTGGAACATTTTTGTGCTGCATTCCTCATTCCCATGATCAAGCACAAAACTCTTCCCCTGCATTCTCCCAAGAAGGTTTCATGCAATAACAAAATCTGAATGAGAACATTAATGTTGATCCTTTTGCTAATATATATTAACAGTTTATATCTAAATTTAATGGTGGCCCACCTTTAGTAGCTAGCAGAGACCAACAGTTCCCCTGCCTGCTAGCCATTGCTGTTGGAACAGCACTGCACAGCTCCTGTCTCATCTAGTGCACAACCAGAGGAGCACAGAAAATAAATTCTAAATCAGAGAATCACTCAGTGTCCCTCCATTCAATACATGCAGTGCCAGTGACCCACCAGGGACGCTTTCTCTGGCACAGCATGTTTTACACTTTGATGCAAAGTGCTAAAATGCTGTAGATTACAGAATTTTATAAGAAACCAAATGGGAAATAATTCTCTCTAAAGGGTTGGAGGAACAGAACAAGTCAAATGCTCACTGTGAAGAATTCTGGAAACTCAGCTATTAAGGCCAGATACTTCAGAGCAGTCCAATCCCTACAACTGCTGGCAGCCAGGTCACACCCATTTCATTTACACACTAAATATTGACCAGAACTTGGAATTCAAGACTGCAGCTTTATAGAAACAAGCCAATAACTTTCCACTTGAAAAGCTGTCTAACTGTATTTATCTCACCCAGACCACAGCAATTAATATTTATGAGGATGAGTGAGAGAAGGATGCTCATAGCAAAAGGGGATTATGAAAACACAAGAACGTGTGAGGATGCTGGTGGGACTGAACAATTGGCACCTAAGACACACATGCAGCAGGTCCGTGAAGTGACAGAAGGAGAGGACAACAGTGCATGTGTAGCTGCCTACACACACAAGCACAGGAAAACTTTTTTCTGTGCTTTGTTCCACAAGTAATCCAGGAAAAGTCTTGGTATTCGTACCAAATACATTTATTACCACTGATTTAATGGCTTTATTTGACTGCTACAGGCACCCACATCTGAGACATCCCTGATCCCAGGCCAATCAAAGTAACAGTGCCTGGCACATGTTCCATCCTTCAGGGGTAAGTACTAGATCTGTCACATCTTTAAATCTGCGTGTGTTGCATATTTCTGGATTTATACCTTACATGAATATGACCAATAAAAAGTGGACAGAAGTTGAGAGCTCCGGAAAGAACTTGTCAACAGCATTTTAAGGTGGAAAAAAAAAAAAGAAATAGGAGGTTTTGATCTGCAGAATGTGAAGTGTAACAATTAAAGCAGAAGGGTAGATACTTTGAGCTCATTAAAATTTCTTTTGAAGATGAAAGTCATTAGATTTCAATGAGAACTTGGAGCAGAAGCTCACAATGACATGAGAATATTTAACCTGCAGTCTACAGTGCTTCAAGCAATTGAAAGTATGATAAATAATTGCTTGGCTGTAGTAACCACATAGAAGGAAAAAAAGGATTATCCTAATCAAACACAGTCAGCGTGGTGTTGCCTGTCTCTGTGCTCCACATTTCATTCTGAAAGTTTGCAGTTATAAAAACGGAAATCCTGAGTTCTTAAAGAGGAAATTGTAAAGGATTTATTTTCCTGCCACCTCCAAGAAAACTTTGATAATATTCAGGGTCAGCTCTTCAGTTGGCATGATCAGCAGAGCTCTGTGGAAACCAGTGGATCACTGCCAATTTGTAACAGCTGAATGTCTGCTTTTACAGCAGGGACAACTTTATTTTAGATTTGTTTTTTCCATATCTCTCTTTCTCTCTTTTATTTTTTTTTCCTGTTTGAATAAGGAACATTAATAGCCAAATACATTTTTTGTTGTCAGGAATACCTGTCCTCCAAGCTACACGACTCATATTTTTATGTGAGTTGCACCAGTGATTCTTACTCATATTTCAGTATCACCACAAAGCACAAGCCAGAACTGTAAAATCCTTTACCTCAGAGGTATTTTTTATGTTATATCTGTGCAAAAAGACAAATACTAATGCAACAGAGGGCTAAAGCACAGACAATGAACCCTCCTGAAAGGCAGGGTAAGTTTGTCTTAGACAGCATTGTCATGGGAAACTTCTCGAACGAAGACATCTAGGAAGGAAAACTGAAAACAAAATTCTTCTGCTTATGTTGAAAAAAGCAGTTTTTTCTTCTGTATGAAAAAAAGTGCTCTAGGGAAGGTAAGTAATTTTGTGAAGCCCTTTGATTTTGACAATAATCTTCTTTGGGGTTCAGGGAATACATTTCTGACTTACTTGGGTTGCATAAGCAGGCTTTTGTAGGTCCACAGCCAAGAAACATGATGGTAAGGGATGACTAGCATGATGTTAGACCAATAACCATCCATTTCTAAAGAGACAAAGGGAAAAACCCAGAAACATGCTCATCTACAATAAAAATATATAAATAAAAGCCTAGAGACTTTTAGCCAAAACAGCCCTTAAGAAAATTTCCCAAGAGATTGGAGCTCTAGGGCTGGAAGAAGAGTCACTGGGAAAGATGACTTTTGGAAAGCAAAAGTTTTTTTATTTAAATGAGAATGGAATGTTTGGAAAAGACTATGATGGATGACCATCATAACTTCTCAGAGGATCCACCAACCCAAAAATTTCCTCATTTGACTGCCAATGAAAGAAAGCAGTTACAATTCTTGCTCTGGTAAAACAATCTCAGAGTCTGCATTCTCATATCCCAGGTGACTATCAGGACCACCTAAGAGCTGCTGAATTTGGGCATATCTGTGTCAATGTTCTTTTTTAGATCTTTCACAAAATATCTGATGAATATATCCATTTTTTCCCCACAAATCATTTGCAAGGGAAGAAAAACCCAAAAGTTAAGAATGAAAGACACATCATCTGAGATGTACTCTGTTAATCAGTGCTGACAGCTAAAAACCACTTTAACCTTTCTGAAAAATCTGTTATCTGATTGGATCCTCAGATTTCAACTTGATAAGCACTAATGCTGAGTTACATCTATTTTGTTGCAAAGGAAGTCTTTTGCTGTCACATTTTGCTGGAAATCCCACCATTGGTGAAACTGAGAAAAGCTTGTTAAGGGCCTGTTCCACTGGAAAATTCCCTATCTGCTTCTGGCTGTTAAGCAATAAAAATAATAAAAAAAAAATTTGTTGCATGCAGCTGCTGAAAAATGTGGGTGTACAAGATCTCGTGCAGCAATTGCTTCTGTGACGGTTCTACAGTAAAGAGCAGTAAACACCAGGCCATGACAGTGGTCACTATGAAAAACCTTTGCCACAGTCACTGGCAAATGTTTCAGTGCAGCAATGTGCTCTGCATTTACAAACACTGTTAAAAACAGGTTTCACTAACATCAATAAATCTCCCTAGAATATGGCAGAAAACTCCCATTATAACTTTAAATAATTCAAGCAAATTGAACCCTTTCCTGAATATATCCTGAAATAAGAGTGTTTTCTAAATATTTGAGAAAGGAAAGGGGAAAAAAGCTTAAAATATAAGGGCAAACTTACATAGAATCCTCCCAGTGCATCACTGAGTAGCTCTCTAAACACTGTACATTTAAGATCCCTACCACAGAATAAAAATATTCCTTTGCTGCTTTGTTACTGCCTAGCCCTACAACCAGACTGTCTAGGACTAAATGTGAAAGCAGAATTCAGGCATGCTGTAGCATTCTATGTTTAGAAAATCCATGGCTCTTGTAGTATTCCTAATCCTATTATGTTAAATTTAGCTGGTCAAATTCTGCTCTCACTTGTACTTCACATCTGTCAACTTAGGGCATACAGGGCATATATCAAGGCAGCATTTAGCTCAGAATAGGGAGAGATTTGATATACATTTCATCTTTTGAAAGCCATATTTTTCCAATAATAAATGCAGGAACAAGCATCGCCCAAGGTCCTGCAATCTGTGTTCTTTCCCACTCAGCTAAAGGTGGTATTAAGGATCTAAAATGAGAGAAATATTGTCATTTGGTTATGCAGCATATGTACCTGATGTGATCCTTCTGACACTTGGGACACTTGGTTTAACAAGGAATTCAGCTGGAGCACAGGAGCTGTGGAGTCTGGCACACCGAGTGCTGGGCTGCAGGCTGTGCATTGCCCACACTGTCAAGGAGATAAATTGCTTTCTTAATTATATAAACATATACTAATATTATCAGTTTGCCTGACTTTTATAAAGAAATATTGAAAACTCTTGCAAACAAGCACACAGAGCACTGATTCCTCAAGCATCCCACTGGAGTGCCAGAGGATTAGTCCTATTAAAAATAGTCCTGTTAAAACACCTTAGTTGTAGTGAAAAATTGCTCTAAAATTTCAGGTAAAATTTTAGAACTGTCTGCTTTGGGTAAGTAAAAATCATCAGAGCAAGTAAACTTATCCTAAATAATATTTACTGTCATTAAAATGTCTTCAATTTCTTATATTATGTACATGGGAATACAAATCACAGCTGGTCAGAGAGCCCGAGGTGAGAGAAGATACCCATGAAGGTGACTTAGTTTTTTCCTCTGACCCTTTACAGCACTGAGCCAAAACAGAAAACTTAGTGATAAAAATTCCAGTAAATGCCTGTAGTCTGAAACACTGTCCATGTTTCAGAGGGCACAAAATGCAGTATTTTCTTTTGACTGTGTAACAGAGGACACAAGTTATTAGCAATGTTGTAATAAACACTTCTATGCACAGATGTAATGACTGTAGGGATTGATGTTGAAATTCTGTAGCAAATGGTCAAAAAATGGGTAAGCAGCAAAAAAAATGATTTGTATTGTTACACTTTTAAATATATGTGCAAAAGACCAAAACTAGGTCTTTAGAACTGACTAAATGCATTACACCAAGAAATTCCAATAATTTGAGTTGAAACTCTCCAAAATGTCATTTCAGAAACAAAAATCTGGGAACAACAAAACTAGCTGAACTCAGCTTTTTGATATCATTGCTTATAACTAAATGCTTTTTTTTGGGAGTTTTAAAATTTATTTAGCACTAAAACAGAATCTGGTGAAGCATTATCACTCCTTTTCATTACTGGAAACAACTTTATTTTTAAAAAGTCCTAGAAAATCTAGAGAGATTTTCTTTACAGATCTTTTAGGTTAAATAGGTAGCTGCATGTCTATTTAATCACAGGCACTTGCACACTTGAACTTGCTCTGAGCTTGTCTGATGAATTATCTCTGATTAATTTTCTTTGTTTTACACAAAGACATTGTCTCCCATCAAATAAAGCAAGTAAATAGATGTTTGAGGCCAGCACAAGCCTTCCCATATACAAGGTTAGGGATATTATAGCCTAGTCTTCTGAGGCTGTTCAACACCTCAGAATTTTACCAGCATTAGTTTGATGTGTTCAGTGCCATCAGTTGCAACACTGAGGTTCAAATTTTAAAATGAAAGTTCAGAGATAAAAGCATTGAGATACTTCTATCAGCTATACTACTGGAATGGGGGTGCCTGCAGCATTATTGACAGTGTCAGACTCAAAGAGGCCACTAGAAAATATCAGATGATGTATTCAATGGCTTGTTTCCCAACCTGAGTCCCACAAGAACCCCAACCAAAAATTATCAGTGCTATTTTTTCCACTTTGTATTTTTACATTTCTAATTGTTTATAATTCTTCATAGAAGCCCTTTTAATTCAGCTACCCAATATAATACAGTATACATAATATTTTGCAAGACAAAGCTTCTGCAACTGCCTCTATACCTTCAGGCTTTGTGACTTGATGCCATAATGGTCTTGATTTATTAGAAGATAAACCTTTTCCAATGCTTTTTCCTTTAAATAGTGAACTGTAAATAACTTATCCAATATGAAAAATGCTAAGTAGCTCCTTTGAAATTCTAATGGAGATGGTCTACAGTTACTCAGCCACTGCAGAATCTTTGTATTAATACTTTACTTGTACATATGGGAACATACAGGACAGTAACCTGCACATATACCACCAAGCCACTCTTTCCAGAACACAGTTAAGCATTTATCACTTAAAACTTTCAACACTAATTGCTTAGTAATGAAAACTTGAATTGATTGGAGAGTAAAATTCTGCTAAGTGACGGGCAGAATTCCAGCTCCAGTCCATAATAATCAAAATTCACTAAAATAGCATTTTTAAATGTCTTTTGTTTGAAAATCATTCTATACCCAGGTGTGGGAAGATCTAGACTCAAGATAGTAATTTTAAGTGTTTCTAGGATTGAGCCAAAAAAGATGTTTCTGAATTAACAGTTGCTAATTTGGAGTTGAATAATATTTCTGTGTTCATCTTAAAAATGTCTACATTATTAAAAATCATATTTCTCCCTCCTTTAATTCAACTGCTTGTGTTGTCAGGTACATCAATTCCTTTTAGACATGTATGCCTCAAAAGATACTGAACTTCCTCCTAATCTGGTGCTCAGGATGGAGACTTTTCCATTGTCACTTTGATACGATTTGCTATTGCTTACCAAAGGTACTGTGTAACCTGAGGAACTTCCCTCACCTTCTAAAACAGCATTCTGAATTTTCAGGACATCAGAGAAAATACTGCAGCTAATTCCCTGTATATTCTGCTTGTTTACTGTGGGTGCTGATGGAGCTGAGTAGGGATGTTTAATGCAATGTTACTTGTGAGACATTGGATTACATTGGATAACGAAAAGGAAACAAATACAAAGTGAATTATTAGCATACTGTTAATTGTTCATGGCATTGGACTGGGTTCCTCTTTCGAGTTTTTAGAAATTACAGAAGAAACACCCGGAAAACATGCAAAGCACCAGTGCTACTCCTTAGCATCTCTTAACTGTATTTAGTCCATGCTCAAAATCCCAACCCATTTCTTAAAGATCTCTTTCATGTCACAAGAGCTTTGCAGAGATTTTGGACAGTGTTCCCAAACACAGACCAAGATAGTTTCTTTTGCTTTTACCTTCAGGGCCAGTATGAGAAGCTTCTGGCACTCTGATGTCCTGTCACTTTTTAATGCAAACTCTGGAAGTTCACGGACACAACGCTGCACAATCTGAGGAAGATAAATCACAGTTACTTCAAGCCAGTTGACAGCAGTTTAAGCAGCTGCAATCATCAACCACCAAGGGAGTTTCTTCTTTTATCTTACTAAATGCAAAAGTATACCAGGACCTGCTAATATCACTGGACTATCAGGAGTCCTGCTTTTACATAAATACCAGCAAGCGGTAAGTAAATTCTGTTGACGAAATGTAATAAAACAAAGACGGTTTCAAATATGACCAGTCCCTGATGCATTCTGTAGCCCCCTCTTACTCACTTATTGCATGCTGCTGAGATTATAAGGTTTGCTTTTATCTGTCAGAAATCAATATTTCAAACATCGGATAAAAGAGGAAATTGAACTGGGAATAGGCTGAAGTGCTGTAAAAACTACAAAGCACAATTATCAAAAAGCACTTAAAGTACTTAATAGGACACACATATAAAAATGCTCAAATTAATGTCAGGGAACTATAATGAGAACTTTTTCTATGCTTTTTGATCCAAATGCAATGCAATTCGAGTGCAGCCTGGTCAGTCAATACAGTTTTCAATTTATATGAAACCCTAAGGATTTCTAGCAATCCATTTGCTAGAACTGAACCATTACATATGATTGGTTAATATTTCAATTTATTGAAAATACATTATTTTGTGTAAAGTGTTTAAGTTGTTGAGGTTTAATCATTATAAACAGTTATGATAAAAATAGATCTTTGGGTAAACAAAGACCTTACAGTCAAGCTTTTAATAAATACTAGTATAACTAGAAAATTGGATTTTAAGAGGAATAGACAGAAGGAAAAACTGCAGATATGGGGTCACAAGATGAGAGGAAATTGTTGTATAGAATGGATCTTTATCAGCACACATTAACTGAGAAGGGAAACCAGGGTTATTTTATGTAAAAAAAAAAACCTCCTCACTATTAACTTTAGTATTTTCCCCTTGGATTTATCTATTCATTTATCATCTTTAATACTACTGAGCTGGAGGTCTTTACAAAACTATGCTAGATCAGAAATCACTGCAAATGAAAGTACACATGTGTGTATAACACACCAGCATCCATGGAAAACAGACTGAGTGACTTCAGAAAATTTGATATGAAACACAAAGAGCTGCAACACTCAGAGGAGTTACAGCCATGGTTTGAGCAAACAGGATGCACATTAATTAAATGGTTGTATCAAGCTGTACCAGTCTTTCCTAACCTACACCCCACAAGGAACAACAAGGGACTCTTGGGACACTGTCTTTGTGGAAAGTCATTCTTAACACACACACTTCATGTTTATACTTTAACCATGACATTTCTTTCATACGAGGGAACCTTTACTCCACCACAATTAAAATGAGCCTCTGACTGGAGCTGCACCCAGCTCTCTGAACTGTGGATCAGACTGTGGTTTCCACTAACAGAGAAATTGTTCCAAAAATCAAACACCTTCCCACCACCTTTCCTCGTTACAGTTTTGAGCCTAATACAGTACAACCTCTTAATTAGTATCTGTTGTAATCTTTGCTGCAGTCCCAGCTCTCAGGCT